ACAGAGCTGGGTCATGCCTGTCTCTTGGGGCATCATTCACGTGCCTGGCCCAGTCTCTAATACCCAGGTCACTTTAAAAAGAACGAACACACACCTATAAACTACACAGTAAGTGCATGTCTATGACGGAAAATGGAGCACAGAATGGCCCCAAACTGTTAACATTCTTATGCTTTCTATCCATGTAGGTAATTCTAATAAAGATAAAATCTCACTATGAACATACATCTTACTTTTAATATAATGTGGTGACAATTTCCCCATTCTTTATGAATACTTATTTTTAATGATTATAGAATAGCTTAACCTTTGGATGAGCCATAATTTCTTTGAACTATAGAATTAATGCACTATGTGAATTTTGGGCTCAAACTAAGTTCCTACTGTTTTCCAACACTGTGACTATGGCTGCAATTAGCCATTTTGTGCAGAACTTACTGGCTGCCAATGTCTCCTTTACATGGATGACTGGTTGTAGAATCACTAGCTTAACTATTGTGCACATAAGGTTTCTTTATACCTGCAGATTATCAACAATAAACATCACTTAGAAAAGACCTGGGATGATCTCACTTCACTGGGACTTGATAGACTAGAACACAAGGACCAAAGATCCTTTAAGCACCCTGGACAAGCAGAAATCTGGGGTCGCGTGGACTGAAGTCCAGACCTGGGTCTACCTTGCAACTTACAGTTTCAGCTTGAAAATCCACTTAGCCACCTAGGAAAAAAAAAAGTCATGTCACCCGCCATCTATAATTCATAGGGCTCTATTCAGGAAGGATGGAAATGGTACTTATGAAGCAGTCTTGTGGACTGGAAAGTAGTTAGCCCTGAGGTAAGTCCATTGCCTTAAAAGGCATGCATATTCGGACTCACTTATGCTCAAGGTTTTTCACCTGTACAATGCAAGCAAAGAAGAAGTGCCTTTGTAGGCTTGTCCATATTCATGTTGGTAATTCAGTGAGCTTCTCAGAGAGATCAGGGTACAATGAGGGCGGCTGGTTTAGTATGCTGTATGGATAATAGTAGACCTTATTGGTAGAGGATTGTGTGTTTCTGAAGACTCCCACTTGGAGGACAGTCACAGGACACTGATCACTGTGACCATGTGGTCCCTCAGGCAAGTTCTGGAAAGCATCCATGGAGCCTGAATCTAGGCAACAGCTCGATCCAGCACTTACTTATAGAATGGGACTTCCCTTCCAGCCACAGTCTGGCAAAGACAAGCTGGGCTCTGAAGGCCTATGGCATGAGGTGTCTCCACTCCAGACTGCAGTTCCTGGAAAGTGTGCTTGCTCTAAACTTGGCAGATGTTTCCAGGAAGACATTCTGGCAGCTGATTGCTGGTTGTGGTTCTGGGAAGAGCTACCAAGTGGGTCTCTCCAAGATATCACAGATATTAGTGGTAACTGCTGCATGGAGCAAAGAAGGGGGCCCACTCCATTCCAAAACTGCTATTCTGAAAGGGGAGGGTGTTGCTCGATGGAGGATCACATGTCTGGGTTCAGTCCCCAACAGCAAGAAAACAAAAAGGAAGTGAGCAGCTTCCAGTCTGGCAGTTCCTACCTTGGCCTGGACCTGAGCAAAAACTACTGTTTCTTTTTTGAAACAGGATCTCATGTAACCCACACGGCCCAAAACTTGCTATGCAGTCAAGGATGACTTTGAACTTCCATTCCTCCAGCCTCCACCTCCAGGGTGCTGGGATGATCACAGGCATGTGCTGCCACACCAAGTTTATGCCATGGTGTGGCTCAAACTCAGGGTTTCATGCCTGAAAGGCAAATACATCCTAAGTCCAGATCTGAAAATTAAATACTGATCCCTAGACTCACCACCACAGTCTATTTTTAATTCATCAAGATTGTTCCTTAAGTGATATTGCTCATTCCCAGGTGATTCTGATAAGCAGGTTGGGGTGCCACTGTTTTGCCCTGAGAAAATTATTCATTTATTCTGTGGAATGTATGTTTATTGATGCAAAGGTGTGTTGCATTTGTTTAACTCTGTAAAGCTATGTTACTTTGCCTGTCTAAAAACACCTGATTGGTCTAATAAACAGTTGAGTAGCCAATATCAAGACAGAAGAGAGAAATAGGCAGGTTAGCATGCAGCGATAATAAATAGGAGAAGAAATCTAGGAAGAAGAGGAGAGTGAGGAGCGAGAAAAGGAGAGGAGAACACCAGGGCCAGCCACCCAGCCACCCAGCCAGACATGGAGTAAGAAGGAGGAAAGAAAGATAGAATTTAAAAAGGTAAAAACCCAGAGGCAAAATGTAGTTAAAGAGAAATGGGATAATTTAAGTTAGAAAAGCTGGCTAGAAACTAGCCATTCGAAGGCCGGGCATTCATAAGCAAGAATAAGTCTCCATGTATTTATTTGGGAGCTGAGTGGTGGGCCCCCAAAGAGTAAAGAGTTAAAAAAAAAACACAAAAACTACATTTTGGTATTCCAGCTTGAGGCCTGAATTTTCACACAGGGCCTGCGAAAGCTAAAAGAAAAAAAAAAAAGATACAGCTCCTTTAAAAAACTGTGCCATACAGTAGAGTGCTTTAACAGCCTTCTTCATGCTAAGTAGAAACAAAAAAAACTAAGTAAAAAAAAAAAAAATGCCTGCCACAGTGCAGGGCCCTGGCATTCCGGAGCTGGGGGGTTGAATGTAGTTCTGGGTCAGCTACCTCCATGGTAGCAAGCTTTAGGCTTGGCTTTCATGGACCCGAGGAGTGGGGCATAGCCCCCCAAAGAGTAAAGAGTTTAAAAAAACAAAAAACAACTACAAAGAGGGGAACAGTAAGAGGACACTGAGTCCCACAGATCCTGAGGGACACTTAACCTTAGTCATGTATTCAGAGTGGAATCTTATACTGGGAACCTGTGCAAGCCCCCAGGCCCCATTCCTGAGCACTTCCAGATGTAAAGGGATGCATCCCTATTGTTCCTCTCTTTGGGTCTTACTCAGAACTTCTCCAGGTGGAGTCTGGGTGCAGCATGGGTGTTACATGTATGTCTGTGTAAAAGCACGACAGTGTAAACTGTGTCCTTAGCTATGGAATGATACCTTGGGACTATAGGAGGTATAGTGATTTCAGTGAGAGATGTCCCCCATAGACTCATGTTCTTGTCCCCAGGTGGTGGTGCTGTTTGGGGAGGTTTAGGAGCTGTGGCCTTGCTAGAGGAGCAGGCTTGAGGGTTTATAGCATTGCCTCATGTAATGGTTTAAATATGAATGACCCCTATGGCTTCATACATTTAAATGCTTAGTCATCAGGGAGTGGCACTACTTGAGAAGGATTAAGAGGTGTGGCCTTGTTGGAGGAAGTGTGTCACTGTGGTGGGTTTTGAGGTTTCAAAAGCCCACACCAGGCCCAGTCTCTGTCTTCCTACTGCCTTTTGTAGTCTCAAGATATCATCCCATAGCTAAGGACACAGTTTACACTGTAGTGCTTTTACACACACACACACACACACACACACACACACACACACACACACACACACAGCCTCCACCTGAAGAAGTTCTGAATGAGACCAAAAGAGATTCAGTCCAAACTCTGCACACCTGGGGATCTGAATGTAGAACTCTCACCTACTTCTCCAACACCATGTCTGCCTGCATGCTGCCATTTCCCCCACCCTGATGGGAAACTAAACTTCTGAAACTATAAGCAAGCCCCCAGTTAAATACTTCCTTTTGTAAGAGTTGCTGTGGTCATGGTGTCTCTTCACATCATTAGAACGCTTACTAAGAAACTCCATTTCCAGTTTGTTCTCTGTTTCCTGATGTGA